TAATTTTAAACAAATCTTTAAATGAAAACTAACTTAGCACCATCATGATGAACAAGAGGATTTTCTGGTTTGGGAAGATCAAGAATAATTTGTTTCGGTTGGGGTTTAGCTGCGGCTGCATATTGTTTTGCTTGTGCCCAATTAAATTTTGCTCCACAACCAGATTGAACATTTCCTCCATGTGCATCTTGTCCACATATCATTGAATCACAACCTTCAAGACGTTGAACAACACGTTTACATGATGGACAAAGACGACAATTATCAGCTTTATATTTTTCATCATTCATTAATTCTTCATAACGACGGCGCAAATCATTATTTCGACCTTCATTGTCTTTATTTCGACGATTATAATCAGATAATTGTGATGCATATGCAGCATCTTGTTCAGCTCTCATTGTTAAATAACGAGCACGTTCTTATTTTAAATAAATCTGTTCAAAAAAAAAAAAAAACTCTTAATTAAAAAAGAAACGAACCTGTTTGACACCAAAAAAACCATCGTTGAGTTATTTGTGGAAGTTGTTCACATGTTGTACGATAATGATATTGTTGATTACAAAGTGAACAAAATTCTTTATTACAAATTGGACAAGTTACTCGAAAACGTTCATTTGGATCAGCAGCTTCAGCTATCCATGGACAATTTTGATTTGGACATTTAATTATGCCGCGAGTACGACTTGAATATACATCAAATGTTTTTTTCATTTGATAATCTCGAATTATTTTTAATTCTTCATCTGGAATTCTTAATTGATTTAGTTCACCATCTTTCAATGGATTTGTACAAAGTGCACATGTTAAAATTTCTCCGTTATTCATTTTTGATTTACATGATTGATAATAACATGAATAACATATTTTATGATTATCATTACAATCAAATACATATATATCATCATATGGACACGATTCCATACATACATCACAATCTCGTCTTGCCATTTCATATGGAAATGTTGATCCTATATTAAACTTTTTTTTTATATATTTATCTTTTTTAAACTATTTACCGAATATAGCAAGAGCATCAATTATTGACCAAGGATCGAGATTTTCCTGACCATTTTTTCTTTGTTGTTCAATAAAATGACGAATTTGATCTTTTGGAAATGGATATTTTGTTTTAGTTAAAACAAAATGAGTTAATTTTTCATAATGAGATGTATTAGCATGTTGACATTGTCTTGTATGATCTTCTAATTGTTTAAATGGATATGGTAATTGACAATATTCACAAGGTATTAAATCTTCACATGATTGAATATGTTCATCAAAATCTTCATATTGATTTAAATCAATATAAAAACGACATTTAGAACAGAATGGTCTTTGTTGACCTTTAACAAGTTTTAAAAGACGATCACTAACACGACGTTCAAGTGGCATTAATGATATATCATATCGAGATAATTCATAATCACATAAAGTTTTATGACATACTGGTGTTTGACTATTTCGAACAAATTCTTCCATTGAACGTTGAAGACATAATAAACAATGATTATGATGATCATGACAATTTATTTCTCTATATAAACGATCTTCTTTATTTATTGAACAATTACTAAATATAGTTATATTTTTTTTTTTTGTAAATAATTTATTATTATTATAAATGTAATTTACCATGTTAAACATTTAAGATTTTTTTTATTTGATGAACTTGATAATTGTTTGTCTGTTTGAGCAACACATTCTAATACATGATTTTCATATTGAGATAAATCAATTGATTTGAAACAAATAATACAATCTTTTTTTCTTTTTGTATTTATATTAGATGAACTTTTCAATTCATTTTTATCATCCTTTAGATTTTCAAATTATTTTTAAATAAATAAAAATAATAACAAATTCTAATAAATTACTTTTTTAATAGAATTTAATCTTGTTTTATGATCATTTTCATAAGAACTCTTCCTTGAAAATGATGATGATAATGATAATGAACATGATGCAACATGTTGAGCATATTCATATTCAGGAATCGATTTCGAACATATTATACAATAGTTTGTCTTATTTTCCTAAAAATTCTTTAAATTATTTAACAAAAGAAAATAAATTAAAATAAATAATAAAACTTGTTTATTAATATAATTATCATTTGTTTGTTCATTGGAACAAATTGAAATATGTTCTTCATATTCTTGTTGATTTATAGATTGAGAACAGAAAACACAGTGTTTTTTTGGTTTATGTTTTGAACTCGAACATGTTGAGTAAATCTATAATTCAATTAAATAAAATAAATTGAAAATATAAAAATAACAAACCGTTGAAGGATCTCTTCGATATTCTGATGTATGATTAAAATTTTCTCTATTTGTTGACCAATATAACATCATTTTTAATTGTATTTCTAATTTAACTACGTCGATTTGAACGAATATTTATGAAATAGAAGAGCCAAAGTCGGACAAAACTTTTAATCCAACTAAATTGAGCATGGTTATGATTAATCTTAACCACTAGTCAATAATAAGAAAGTTGTAAAAATTCGAGTTTGTATCTCAATCTATCTTGATATTTGAAATCGAAAAACAATCCATGTAGTTTTTTTTTGTAATTATCATTCTGTTCATTACTATGATAACTTCTGTAAAAGCTGAAAGGAAGATTGATAAGCTTGTAGATACCACCTTTTACACACTTTGATTCGATTAAAAAAAATTCACTTATTTAAATAATACTTTTCGTATTTGATTTTATCTCTTCGATAATTGAGTCAAAAGATAAACTAAAAACAAAACAGTCATTCCAGATTGTTTCTAGAAATTCAGGAAAAGGGTTTTTAACTTGATCAATGAATGCATTCTGATAGAACTGAGAAACATAAGCTTGACTAATTTTACTACTTGAGTCATCTATATTAATATGAAGAAAGTCTTAGATCGTCTTTGAGTCTAGCACGACTGTTACTCTACTAGGCAAGATTTTCATAGGCTTCAAGTCTCGGTGTTTATTATTGAGCCCGTTCACGAGACACATAGAGAACACTCTTCGAAGTGAAAAACTTCGCTTGTAACATATTAAAAGCAAATAAATTTTTGTACAACAAGTTAACTTAGTTCTCTTGTTATGACTCAAGTGACGTCAAAATCAATGACAAATCCTGATTTTTACGAGTTTTCTGAACCAAAATATTTATATTCTATTATTAACAAAAAAAAACCAATTGAAAGTTCGGGCAGACTACAAAAATGAGTGTGTTTCTATCAAAAAAGAACGAAGTTATTTTATTTATGAGAACAATTTTTTTTTTTTTAGTAGTCCAATGCCCGTGATAAGATTTGTTGATATAAATTAGTTCTAATTTCAAAAGTTTTCTTTAAACAGTTCTCAAGATCAAAATTCATATGGAGATTTCTTTGATCGATTTGATATTGATCTATAAAGAAATGATACTTATCTTACTTGATTTTATCCGTCATTTGCACTTACAAAAAACTGCTGTTAAATAAACAAATTGAATTCACTGAATATGACATAATTCACTGTCATGTAATATGACATTATATTTTGATATTTTTAAGGTATTTCTTGGTCTCCACAGTACGATTTGAATATTCTATCCGACGATTGTCGACATACGTTTCAATCTTTTGCCGAAATTACGAATGGAACAAAACAAGAGTACAAAATCAATCGAACAGAATTGTTCGGTGGAGATGTATGCTTACAGAAAGAAAACGGAACCAAACGACGTCGTAATCGATCCAGAAGTAGAAGCCGAAGTTTAAGTGATACTTCTGATGATGATGATGATGAAGATGAATTTAATTCGATTGATATAATACCGACTATTGGTGTACTAGGAGAACTAGCAGGTAAGTCTAATCTCTTTAAATACTGTACTTTCTAATTTTGTTTAACGTACTGAATCTAATAGGTCTTTATCTATATTCAATTGATCAACCGTTTTTACTCTTGCCAAATTCGTCATTTGTTTTACCATTCATCAATGCGACAATTCAAATAAGCAAATGTGTTAGTCTCACACTTCCCTTTAGTAGTCACACGCAAATACGAAAGTTACAACGAAAATATTGTATTGAATCAATTGATAAATTTCTTCCTACTGGATCCATAACTATTCGAGAACAGGGACGTTTAGTCGGAGTAACGACTTTGCCTGACATGGCTGTGGGTGACAAACATACGTTCAGTTCTGGTCAAGATCCTGATGTGAGTTCATTATTTTCTCTCAAACTATCTATATAATTATCTTGTCGTTAAGGTTACATTAAATCGTCAAGTAAAGTTAATTTCCAAAGAAAGACATTCAGCTATGTATGCCGTTCATCTAACATTTAAAAATGTCAAGTCAATTCCAGTAAAATTTGAATATAGAGAAATAATTGACAATTCAAATACACAATCCAAAATTATTATCAAAGGATCCGATGAACAACGAGCCCAAATTCAGGTGATTGAGAATGGTATTCAAATAGAGAACAAAAATAGCACAGACAATCATCATAGTATGTTGGCAGCGAACGGTGGCGAACAAATCTATGAATATGAAATTAATCTTAATCATTCTAAAAAAAGTAATTCATATAGGAAAAGACGACGAGAAGAATAATATCAATATGTCAAATTTGGAATTTATAACAAAATAAACACGACAATTGACTATTTTATTTTTTGTCATATTTGATCAACGTTATTGCTCTTTTTTAAAAAATCTCCTTTTCAGCATCAGTTTTTTGAGATAGACAAATTGTTCATGATCAAAATAATCAAGGACACAATCACTTATAAAAAGCAACTGAAAAGATTACGAGCACGAAATCTAATTTTGTACTATTCATGTATAGATACGAAATCACAAAAAAATACACATTTACATATGGTTCTTCAGAACTACTGCTTATTGCCAATAGGAACCATTCTATTATAGGTTCGATTAAAGTTTAAAAAATTAATCAAACTGTAAAACTTCGTGTAAACCAAAACATAAAAATAGAAGATCTATAATGTTTTTATTTTTTACAGACGTCATCTTTTAGATATGATCTTTTCAATTTTTCAAATTCTATAACTTATGATACACATTCGATAAATATTATTCTTAATTGAACGATATTAACATAAGACAAAGGTATATATAAGGATTAAATTATCTTCAATTTTTTCTTCTAATAAAGATATCAAGATTTTTCAATTAGAACATGAACATGAGTCTTCAGTTCATCAATGCTTACACACCGAAATCTGCAGCAATATACTATTGAATATAAGATTTTTTTTATCTTTGACAGATGTTGTCCAAAAATTGTAAAATTTTCTTTTATCGTAGCTAACCAAACTGAGATCTTCGTGTAAACGGGATATCAAGCCAAAAACTTCATCTATAGTTTCGGTACAAACCTAATATAACCTCTATAAATGGTATCCTCTGATAACTAAAGGTGTAGCTGTGAGTTTAGGTGTGAGTGATTAAAAGAGAATAACCTGCACAAATCCATCCTATTCTCATTTAATCAATCACACTCACGCCCAAAGTCACGTAGATATTTTATAAATTTCGTTATGTAGTAAAACACAAGTATCGTTATGATAAAAAATATTGCAATTTGATGCAAAAGAGACTTGAGATAAAGCATATTGATTCTCTGAAATAAAAAAATAATACTGAGCATTTTGTGACTTACTTTAATTTATTGAGATAATAAAAAGAGCTAAAATGTATGATATTGAGAAAAGACAATCAGCATTCGAAATCCAACTTTATCTTTTCTAACAGTTCTTGTATGTATATATATATATGTGTGTGTATAACTATGACTGAAGTATTTTTAACTAACGCGCTAAATATTTACTTTTTAGTTTCAATAATGGTTTATATACAGGAGTTTGATATTTTGGATATGTTGTATTTAGTATGAGAGCAAGAATATCGGTTATTACTTCATCTGATCATAACTCATCATATAGTTGAGATATATTCAGTGGCACTCTCTTCAAGCATAGGTACTGCTGTTTTGTGCACTAGTGTATAGTCTATGAAGAAACAGTTGATATATTTTTTCTTCTCCACTTGAATCTTGATTTAAATTATCAAGTAGAAGTTCATAAGATAAAGCGTACTTTGTGTAACTTTTCAAAAGTTAATTCAACAGGTAGATAGATATGAACTATATGAAATGCGTCTCTATCTAATACTTTCTGATATTATTCATATTTTCCTTATTTTTGTCACTAATTCGCTACATCTTTTTTTAGTTTGAATTTTAATACGTTTATTTCTTCTAATATAAATTCATGTATTTATATTTGTACCAATTGATGCTTTCATTTATTACTTATTTCTTGTGGTAAGAATTTTCAGCTCAAATAGAAACTTAGAATAGAAAAGAGTCTTTTATGGATATATTCTTCCACGAAGTTATATAAATCTTTATCTTTTTGTATACTTCTATTAATGTGCGTTGACATATTTCACTTTATTTCTGTCGATCTTTTAACGTCGATGTAAAGAACCTCGGTTACGTCTCAGACGATACATCCCATACTCACTCCAAAGAACTTTGGTCATCTTCATCAAGATCAACTTCATTCTCATTTTTAATTAAACATTTTTTTTTATCTTTGTATGTTCTTTGTAGAAGTTTCTTGAAAGATCTTACTAGAAAAGATTCGGAAAGAGAAAAACAATGCTCAGTAATTTTATATACATGATGACGAAGACGAGATCCAAAAAATTTGTAAGCATTTAGAATAAATATTACAAACCAATATATTTGATCAACTACTTTGCAATTAGTGAAATAATATTCTTCTTTAGCCATTGCAATGGTAAATTGAAGAGCCATATCGCGAATAACAAATGATCTAATTATATGTAGGGAACCTTTTAACAAAGGATAAAATACTAAAGTTGAAGAGAACATTTGATCGATCTCCCGTAATGCAACATCTGGTTGTGATCCAATACCAATAAGAGCAATAATAGGTATAATATCATTCTTAAGTAGATGAGTGAATCGTTGTCAAACTGCATGAAAAATGAAAGTAGCTCAAGTATGTATACTTAAAGGAACCTTATTTCTACGTTAAATTAAGTCGTATTTATATTTGTGAAAAGTCATATATTAAGTGAAGAGAAAATCATGCGCATCAAAAACGAAATACATATGGTCTTAAGCTAGATCGATTTGCTATCAGGATGAATTGTGATAAATATTGATCGAAACTTTAGTTTTAAATTTAACAAATGTGTATAAAATACAGTAACGAACAAACAGTACACAGAAAAAATAAATTTGCTAATGATTAGATCTGGTCTTTTAATTTTCAACATATCATATGAATTCTTTTTAAAAAATTCCTTGCAATAGACTTTTTAACTGCTGCTAACATTGCGAGAAAAACCACTCAATGAAGAGATAAAAAGAGAATGGTGTGATCGCCAAACAATTAGTGGACTCGTGATACTCTTTGGGCTTATGGCTATTGGAAAATAAGTCATAATTACCATTTAGGATCAGAAAAATGGAGCACACGATAGATGTCTCTGCTGTCAACAGTATTGATGTAAAAAAATTTAGATTTTTTCGTTTAGAAAATTATGTTTGACAATAGATTCCCGTGTTAATGAAACACGGATCGAATATATGCTAAGTCGTCCAGGTGTTATGAAAAAAACTTCCCTGTGTCTATTCTCATTTTTCTGATTAGTTTCACTTAAGAAACAAATAAATTGATTCTTTTGATTTCGAGAATGTTTTCTACTTACTACAAAGCCACTGAAATCGAACCTTTTACATTTGCACATATTACTTCCAGAACTTTATGATTGCTATATAAACTATTGTGTAATTGAGTTTTTCTTCAATCAAATAATTTATTTCGTAAAGATTATCATGTCAAAAATCATATTATGATGAGAAGGTATAGATGACTGGTGACTGTTCTTCGTTTGAACCGATAATCACATTCCAATGCTGTCAGCTCTGACTGAGAATAAAAGATTGCAACAGCTATAAACTGCTATCTTTTACCTTCTACTTTACAATGTTTTTTTTCTCTAACTTTTTTCATTGAACATTCTATTTGTTCGTACCATGGATGAGTAAGGATGCCACAAACGACATCTATTTGTTATTTATTTTTGATAACAACAATTCTCTCCAAGTTACAGTCAACTATTGTCGTATTATGTCCTCTTGCCTTTGACTTTTGTAGTGATTCAATGATGAAAAGAGCACATGTTCTGTGAGCTGAATGATACTTTATTCCTTCGTTAAACAAGAAATGTTTAGTGGATGATGCTTTAAACTATTCTGTCGATTGTTTTTCGGACTTTTTTACTTGAGTTTGTGTAATATAATCTCATTCGCATCAGTATTTCGTTTATCTTGGTTCTATTTTGGATATGAGAAAAATAACAACTGTCACATCTGAATCAAACGATTCATTCATCATTCGATTATATTCACTCTTTTCGTTTTATCATGAAAAATCTACTTGTTACAGTCGTTGTTGCCACTGCACTCGTATTTGCTATTAATGCTATTCCGACTCGTCGTGAAGCGAACGAAATATCATGTGAGCATGATATTTGTCTCAATGATATATTCATCTGCATATGTGGTTCGACATTAACACCGGATGATCCATGTGGTTGTCCATTTCGATGTACACAATGTTCATTTGAATATTTACCATCGTTCAACTTTAATTTTACTGGTATTATCTTTCCAGAAATTGATTGGTCCAATCTTGTTTTTGATTTTTCGAATTTGAATCTGAATCTTGGCAAAAAAAAATAAATTTATGAGACTTGTTTCTACCAATGACATTCACCAATAAACGATACTATTTGCTTTGCATCTAGAAAATTTTATTATCGTGTTCTTACTAATTCGATGATGACTAAGATTAAATAGATGGGTGTGGGTATTCTCTAATTTATACAGTCACACTCCATTCTTACCAACACCATCTTGAAGTCTGACTAAGATTTGGTTCATAGGAAGCAACCACTCATAATACAAAAAACATTTTGTTGTTCCCAGTAGAAGAGGCTCAAAACTAAAACGGATAATACGTTTTATGATCATGATCTTCTCTAGATTCTGTTAAATTGCTCCACATCATAAAAGGTCTTAATCCACCACTCAGTTTTATAATTCGTATGCAGCCTTACGAAGTTCAGGGAAGTTTTTTGAAGTTTAAAGTCATGAAGGATAGATGTAAATGTTGAAATTCCCTTCATCGACATTCATCTGCCCATTTACACCTACAACTATACCCCATACTCCGTTCAAATAATAAGTATTGTGTATTTATAAATATAATACGCTTTACGATTGTTTTGAATACATTGAGAACGCAAATAGCTCGAGACTTGCAGTTTTCCCCAATTGAAGGAGATATAAAGACGTCTTTTTCTAATATTGTGTAAGACAAAATCGTTTGAAAATTAGTCAATTCTGCAAAACATGGCAAAAAAATGCATAAACATGATCTGTAATTCTAATAAAATTTTGGCTTTAACATTTGATCGAAGTAGAGAAATCTCGATTTTTATAATTATAAATATAATTTGCATAATTATCTTCTACATTCTAAAGCAAATAAATCATTTATTTACTCGCAAAAAAATTATAAAATTCTTTTAATTTTTTTAATCAAGATTTCTTCCTTTTTATTGAAATTTCATATAAATGATAGATGATTTCGTCTTACATAATATTAGAGAACCAGACGTCCCATACATTCCCTTTTGATTATTAAAAACCACAAGTATTCAGCTGTCTGCATTCTCGAGTTATTCAAAGAAAAACAAAACAAAGCACATGATACTTCTTAATGGACAGTAGTCACTAAGAGAGATCGTATGGATAACAAGTGAAATATAACGAAGAAAAAATTTTGTTTGTTGAATTTCCATGTTTCAATATAATATCTGTTCAATTAATCATCATAATTCAATCATAATGATTTTGTTTTATCTAGAATGGTAACAGCTCAGAAGTTCTGATTCGATTTGTATAATTAAATTCTTCTATGTTATGAGAGTCATGGTTATAAGTTTATTTTTATACAGAAAACAGGTTGCCAAACATGCACTACAAGTACTTTTTGACCACAATGGCTCATCTAGTAAAGAAGTTGTATGATTAGATGTGTTTTTTCTTAAAAAATAAAATATATGCTGTCAACTATATCTATCCATACGAGTGTTTGACAATTGTAAACATTTAATAACATTATTTTTATAATGGAGAAATGGAAGATATCCAATCAAATCAATCGATAATAATACATGTATAATCAAATCACTATCAACCACTAACGATCAAAATATATTACAAAATATTATGTGTATTCAAATATTATCATCAATATAATTTAAAAAAAATATAAAATCTATTATAGACCAAGAAAGTTATGCAATAAGACAAGATTCAATTATTGATTTAGCTATATTTAAAGTGTATGAGAGTCTAAGCAAGACTGCAATTGATTATGGTCTTGAGCGTGAATTAGTTTTTCTTCGTATTGTTATTGTCAATGATAAATCATCAGACAAATCAATGTTTGCTCGAATGTTTCTTCGATTTTTATGTGATTTTTCGCATGTTAATGTTGATATTCGACGTCCAGTAAAAAATATATATTATGTTAGGGTGTGGGTGTGGGTGTGGGTGTGGGCGTGGGTGTGGGCGTGGGTGGGTGTGGATGTGGGGTGTGGGATGTGGGCGTTGTGTTCTCTCACCCACACCCTCATCCACACCCACACCCACACCCACAGCCACAGCCACAGCCACCCACACCCCACCCACACCCACACACCCACACCCACACTCACACTCACACCCACCCACACCCTAACCTTGATCAATTCTATCAGTTAGATCGACAAAAATATGCTGCTATAGAACCAAAGAAAGGAAGTATGTTAAATATTGAACGAAAAATTTTATTGCGTAATTGAAATGGAAAGAAAAAAGTTATACATCTACAATTAATCATGGTGTGGGTATGGGGTGTGCGTGTACGTCTGGGTCTGGGTCCCCAATAAAAGAAGACACCCACACGCANAATACCATAGGCAGAAAGAAGAAAAGGTGAAGGAATTTGACCGGACGAGGTATTAAGAAGAGGTTGTAACATATGGACATTGATGAAGGAAGATGTTTGTTTTTCTTCAAACCATTTTTGAAGTTCTACATATGAATCCGTACGATGCTGATCAGGTAGGGGCTGTCCGTGTGCAAGAGGTGTATCAAAGCCAATGAATGAGTTGGACATTGAATCATAAGTCACTTTAGAAATTACACCAGTGGCATCCTCTGCAGCAAAGGCAAAAGTGAAGCCATTCGAAGAAAAGTAATCATGCATTGCGTCGAACCGAAAGTGAGCCTCGTACATACGAAAGGAAGAATTTGCAAGTCTTTTTTTAATAGTGGTGATTGATGGAAGAAAACCAGGAACATTGAGTGAAACAAATCGATACGCATTTCGACCACTATAAATGAAGAGTAAAATAGCAAACTTCATAATATAGTCGGAATATTGAAAGTTATTTTTCGATCTTGTCAAATTAGTACAAATGTTGTTTAGTATTTCAATGAGTAGTGTGAGATCGTTTCGATCGGAAAGTGTATGAATATCTGTACAAAGTTTGATGAGAGAAGAAAGAGCAGGAAATTTGTTGAGAAGTTCAATAGAGAGTGTCAGATGATCAGAAGTTGACGTAATATTGGATGACGGATAGTATTCATTTTCATCGAGACGAGCTTGTTCTCTAAGAGCATTCATGAGTTCATCAACACGAGCTTGAAATCCGATCAACACTGACCATGTACCATCGTGAAGCTGTACTCCCATGTCGCTCATTTTTTATGAATCCCGGCGGGATCTCGCGGGATTAACTTTTCTCGGCGGGATCTCGCGGGATTAACTTTTCCCGGCAGGATCTCGCGGGATTGCGCAAAAGTGACGGGATCCTGCGGGTTCCCAGTCAAAAAGAACGCCCATGTCGTCAAAATTGTCTAAGTTTTAACGATTAATTGCCGATCAACCAATCATCCCATCTAATTTAAAAACATTTTCAAGGACATTCGTACAGTCAGTTGACAAAGGAGATTATTCTCAACTTTTTCTTTTCTTTTCTATTTCATATACATCCTCACCGCACAATAAATTTTGTTCATTTTTTCATTCAGGGAAATTTCTAAATTATTCATCCGTTTTACTATATATTAAGAACTAGAGACATAAAAGAATCACACAAGTCTGATTGGATTTGATTTGGTTTAGATTATGTTTGAAAAGAGGTACGCGTAGGTGTGGGTGTGATTTGGAAGTAAAAGTCAATCTTCTATCACCCACATTCACCCTTAAATTATTTTTTTAATTTTTTTCTTTTTAAAATTACTTGTGTAAGTGCCATGACCAGTGGATTTCTTATATTTGTAAAAAGCTTATCTTAAAAAAGTAGTGAAATATACTTTCGTATTAAAAAAGGCCAAGGGATATCAATGTATTCTATATTTTAGTTTACGGATTCATAGAATAAAAAAATTATCTTTTTCATAATTAACATTTTAAAATACCGATTCTAAAAAAATATTTCTATATTTGAAGAGAGATATGAATAACAAAAATTTTTATGTAAAATAAATTAATTTTATTATGATTTAAATTATAAATAAATTTAGTTAGAAATCAGTTTTATTTAAAAATATGAACTGCTATTATTCAAATTTATTTTTAAACGTAAATTCTCAAAAAATAATTTTTTATATATCTATTTTAAATTAACAGCAAAATGACATCCCTAGCTGTTACTCGTAGTAAAATTTAAGTTAGCAAAGCTTAGTCGAAATATACCTAGAAAATTCAACAACAGCAGATATATGTAAGTTTAGTATAATGGTATATTCCGTGCCTCCAAAATACAAGTTCATCTGATCGAATCTGCTCTACGGTAATAAAAAGCGAGTTGGAACACGCTGAGTAAGCACGAAGGTATATTGATGAACAAAATCGTTCTCAGAGAAAGTCAACAAATACTGAGCAGACTCCTTCTATAAACATCAAGTATTCAAAAAAAGTTTATTTTTGTATTTTTTTTCCATGGGAACCATCTTTATTGATTAGAACAAAATCGCGGAATAATCGCGATTTTTTTGAAGAAATCGGAAAAAAAATCGCCAGAAATCCCACAATGTAACGATTTTATCACGATATAATCTCACAATTAATCTGCATGATATATCGCGATAAATCTTCGATTTTTGCGCGATTTTTATCATATGGGCGGGATCCCGGCATTTTTCATGGGATTGCCGAGATCCCGCGGGATCCCGATATTTTTCGAGCGGGATCCCGCACAGGATCCCGGACGGGATCTCGCGGGATCCCGACGGGAAATTGCCGGGATGAAAGACATGGGAGAACGTCTTATTGGTTAGCGTTTTATATCTATGTTCTGAAGACAAAAGAAAGAAAAAATGGTTGTGAATTGAATGACACATGTTTTCTTCATGTGTGTTTGCTAGAAAGACTAACAACATAAGTACTGAAAATAAAATCGATTGAAATATTTTTCTAAACAAATTACAGTTTTCACATTTAGAATGTCTTGTGTTATGTTTTCTTTTCACGACTAAAATCACAATGTTGTTAGTATTGCTGCTACTGTTCAAAGATGACGAATAGAAATCAATCACATAGATAACATTTAATCTTGTTCCTGGTGGTACATCCAGTCATGGCATAAAATAGTAAAATGCCATTGAAATACCTTCGCATTGTAATAGAAATAACAATGTGAAACTGTCACATCTAGGAGCATTATTTGTGATACTGAACCGTCACTTTTCCACAAAAATAGTCCATTATGTTTGCTAGAAAAAAATCACTTTTATCCTTATGCAGATTAAAATTTCGGATTTTAATTTTTTTTATATACTCTTCCCTAGACGAAAACTCAGTAAAAGAAGCATAAATGAAGAAGACAAATTCATGAGTGCAAATCACTAGACTTTTTCTAGTTGCAATAGTCTCCGCTTCATGAGATAGATCTCATCTCAAAGCGATTTATTACATCACCCGATTATCTTATTGATGAGAATTGCTAGTGTGTTTGTGCATGAAAGCTCTCCAAGTCTGTCATCTAGAAAAAAAAAGTTGTTCATCAATTAGAGTCATCTGTAGGTTTCAATTAACGGCATAAATCTAGAAGCAATAGATTGTTCCAACGGGTAACTTGAATCCATTGCTAGCAAATAAGTTTTCTCTTAACAAATGACTCTGTACTGCTCTATAGAAGTTTAAATGAATAATCTTTAAGCGAAAACAAGAGAGTGTGACATTAGCCTACTAAGGAAAGAATATCATGGCAATATCGAAAATTACCTTTTTCTACATAGTCTTTCAGTTTATTGGTCTCTCAGTTTCTCAAAACTCTCAATACTAACTAGAAGTAAGATGATCTTGCTTTTTTTTAGACGTATTAGTGCATAAATGAATACAAAACAAGAACATAGAGTACCGCGAATATATAATAAAACGCTGTGAGTTAGCTTGATCATGTACAAATTCTAATTTTCATAAAAACAAGAAAAAGTAGTTTCAATTTTTTTTCAAATGATGTTTTGTTTCTCAAACACTCTTCTTTCCTTTTTAAGGTGACTATTTATTTTGTTCCGAAAGGATGGTTTATACCACTGTTGCATGGGTAATGAATCAATCTATGTTCACTTCATTGATATGATTTTTTAAGTTGACATCGTGATATATGATTGATTAATTTTTTGTATGCGCTTTTGGATATTATTATTTTTTCATCTACATTAATAATAGATATTAATATTATCCGACATGCCCGCCAATGATAATCCATGATAACAGATTCGTTCCATTTATTTTTATATCATCGTCATTGATGTATTAGGCCAGCTCATCAGTAAATGGTCGATTAAAATGTTTCATAGGATCATTAGATCGAGCGTTGCTTATAATGTTCATTATCAAATAAATTAATGATCGAAAAAAAATGAATTTTTTCTCACCATTTCTGACGTTCATAAACTCCTTCATGTAGTTATGTTTTGTAAAACAAACTTCTATGAGAAACTATATAATCGTTTTGTTTATTAATAGATATGAGATTCTGATCCGAATAGGATTGTTCCAGAATATGTGATTGAATTGATTAAAGAACTATTTATCACATCTTTGCAATAGAGATCTGGAAAAATCACTCCTTGTTTTGGTGTCCTGGTTTCGGTCTCAATTAAATTTTCGTATTAATCCTACCCTTGATTCTATGGGTCCAGTGTCATTTCTACAATCACGCAACTTTTTGGTTATAATCAATATGATTTTTCAAATATATAAAATATCTAACTAAAGATTTCGATTCAATATAGAGAAATGACTCAACAATACTTAAAATTAAATGCATATATATTATCTTTCAGATTCTTCAAGTTATATTAATAACTTATTATGTTATGGAATAACTCCAATCATTGAAATTAGAATCGATATCAGTAAAGAACTTTCGTTGGAGTTATGAATCATTTTACATATTCTTAATTATAACAGAACAATAATCATGCAAATATTTAATAAACTACTTGAAAAATAGTTTTATCGAGACCATTTTGCACATCCTTACTTGGCGCAGCTGTGTGTCAAAGTGTGAATTTTATTTTATTTTGTATGAAAAATGATTGAATTTTACGATCTGGCATTTTTTGACAAAGAACAAAAAAAAGTGATTTATTACCTTACAAAGGTTACAAATGTCTACTGTGTGACATATGCACTCTGTAAGAATGTAGGAAAGTAAACGAGTATGATTAATATGCATATTTAACTTCTAAAGGAATTTCTTCGAACATGTAAAAAAAGCCGTTGACCCAAGTACTGTTATTGCACTTTAACAATAACATAGACAGCAAGAGTTCATAGAAGATATTTTCAAGTAGATATTTTTTGTAAACAAATTGAACGTCCATGCTTAATCTTAGATTATAGTATTAAATTGAAAACAAAGATTATCATGAACTCTTGCTTATTTATGTGAGAGATAGGAAATAAATATATGCACATGTATATTTCAAACGATATTATATATCATTAGAAAATAGAAAGAACAACAATCAACTCACACTGATTTTTAATGGATTCATTGTAACATTCAAGTATAAACATCAACTACTATCTCAAAAACACTATTCAAGCAAACATAAAGCATCAGCTTAAAACCTTGATACAAAAATATAATGGGGTACTTATGTGATTCGAACCAGATAAAAGCCGCCAATCAACGGTTGAGTATAACATGCAACTTCGATATACAGTGGTAAATGTTTTGTAGATAAGTGCTTATCTCTGTCAACAACAGTGGCAACTAAATAAGAATTGTTTACTCAGTAGGATATGATTGAAAATGAGAAGGAATATAATATACAAACTTGTTTTCTTATCATTCATTTCACGTTTAAAACTCGCTGTTTTTCGTGAATTACAGATCATTCATTCATGTATTTGTTAAAGAAAAGAAAACAAAGAAAAAGAAGTAGCTATATCAATACCAATAAAAAGAAACAGAAAAAAAACAAGAGATTCAGACTTCTCTTTGCTAGGAAAAAGTACAATTCTGTATAACAATTTAGACTTTAGGCAATGTCTAAAATTGCCATAGAAAATTCGCCATTCTGAAAGGAAATAACATAAATCAATCGCTTTTAAAATTTTCATTTATGGAATATCTAATACATGAATTCATCGTATTACTGATTGATTATCGAATATCATTGTTATTTATATTAGGCGTTGGTTCGTCGCGTCGAGCCATGAAAATAGTGACAGCATTAGCAGCCAAAAATATAAACGCAAAAATTCCCATAACCTAAATTTAAATAAAGTTTAAACTTAAAAAACAAAAACCATTATTTCAGAAGACTTACTCCACCAGCAACTTGACCAGGAAGTCGACAATAATGAATTGTTACACTGGATGCAATCTAATATTCAATAAAATATAGACTAAATCTTTTTTTCATGCACAAAAAAAAGTCGAATCTTTACCAAAAGATAGAGTGCATCATGGGTTGTTGCAAAAAAATCCTACAAATAAAAAATGATATAATCACTCTATGGCAAGCCTTAAAAACATAGGTCAACACGGAAGTTGTTGTTTTTCTATTGACTCAAAATGATAATGTTTCGTATGTGTTTGTAAACAATACGATCATCATAACGTTGTCGGTTATATTTAACTATCGACGCATCAAATAATCAATTGATATTCTTTTTTTTTCGTTTTGCTTACCAAAAATTCAAAATCAATACCAGTAAATCTTGTTTTAAGTCGAAAAAGAAAAATAATAATAATTATAACTTGCATTATAATAACAAGCCATGTAACCGAAGCCAAAAATGCATGATTACCATTACATTGTGATGTTGACGTTACACAAATAAAGGCAATAAAACTAAACAACTAAAAAATAAACTATAAGGAATATATCTATTATTATGATATATTATTATTATTTCAACTAGTTATGGATATTATTTGACACGATATTCAAGTAATAGGATTATACTCAATAAGTAAACAGACGAACTATTTGTCTACACACTTGACTTGTTGGATTAGATTTCTTTTGTTAAGTTCTATTCAAAAAGAAAAACTACTTTCTATTGAATTTATTTACCAAACAAGCAAATTTGAGAATGCCACGAATTGATGTAACATAGGCTTTATCAATACGACTTTCAGAGATGGGTGGTGGTTGACCATAACTAACATGTTGAGGATGACCAGGAATCATGTAACTAGGTGTTGTATTATGAGCATTCATGTTCATCGTCGTCGTCATCGTCGTCTACAAATAGAAAAAAGATCGGTACATATAGTCGACACTGATTTAGCTTCTTTCTTTGTCCCCTTCTCTTTGCATCGGTAATGTGTGAACTACAAGAGATGCATAGATTTTTTCTCTACGTCTCTTTCTCTTCTTTCTCTTTTTTCTGTCGAAAGCTATTCAGTATCATTAGCATATACCTCAAGTGGAAGAGAACACGCAAGGATGTGTTCTGTTTACGCGACGCAATGTAAAAAAAGAGAGAAGAATCCGGGTCAGTCTATAACTGACCGGAATCAGCAATGAATGATAAGTAAATATATAATCACGTACATTTTTTGGGTCGTTTATGTGTATGTCTTGAAATAGAGAACAGAATTAATTATTAATTTTACATTAGAAATAATTCTACCTCTCTGTTGATGACCAAGAGAATCGGGATAAGCAACAGCTGCTATTTCTGTTTCACGTCGAGCCAAGTGATGCATCATATATATAGAAATAATTTCAAAGTCATCATACGATTCTTTCTTTTGTCTTTTTCTTCTTTTTTTTTTAATTTTTAAAATAAATATACAAAAGCGAACAGAAAGAACAAGCACGACAAAATGAGTCAAAGTTGTATCAAGCATTGACATTGTATATTTAACAAGTGACAGAACTATCAATTGAAGACTTCAAACAGTTTCTATATGTGTCGACATAGGTTTTTTTTGTTATTCAAATAATCATTGAAAGAAGAAACATACATACACTTGATAAAAAAAAAGTCTGACATTGCTGTTCTTTTTCTTTTCTTAGGTTAAAATACCATCATGTACTCTTAGCGTTCCAATTCATCTACGTTCAAACAGATTCTACTTCTGGTCTAATATTTAGTACATCTGCATACAATCACGTTTCGTGTATGAAACGAAACAAAAGAAAAAGAATGCCAAAAAATCAACTTAAAATTGTTGTTGTTGTTGTTATACTTGGCTACCATTGTTTTGAGTGCATTGCAAGAAAAAACTTTCGAAAAATCATTTCGTTCAAGTCAATTTACAATGTTAATATGTTTGCTCGAAATTTGATTGAAATATCATTGTTAAATTATATTTGAAAGAATACTTTAAGAATATAAATATAGATATTTGTCTGTTATTAAACTGATTATTGAAAAAAAGATAAGATAAACTTACTTATCATATTTGCAATTTGATTTTGTTACACGGAAGTCTTCAATTTCGACGTTCATAATTCCAAGAAATGAATTCGATAATTATTATCGAGTAAAGCCCCCGACACATTAGAAGACTCGGGGTCTTCTATTTTTTCTTGTCGTTCATAAATTACAAGGGGGGTCTTCTAATATGTCTATTTAAAAAAAGCTATTTTTTGGCAGTGCCGCCAACAAATTTTAGTTTCAGTCAATTTTGCCTGATGTATCGTTAGTCAACAAATTTCTTTTATTTATTCCTCATTCGTAGAATGAGAAAGAAACATATTATCCTGTGAGAAAGGACGAGTTCATAGTTAGTAAGTCTTCTTAGAGCAATACACACAATACTCCCTCACAGCTTGGCACAATGTCCAATAGAATCCTTTTTTCTAAAGAATTCTATAGTCACTGTAAATATTTAACCTTCTAAATAACTGAAAAAAGAAAAATAATTTTGTTTTGCCGAATTTACTTCAGGCAGTTGTTTATGTTGAGATTTGATTAGTACCGATGGAATTCGTACCTAGTGAAGTCTACCACTAACATAGTTATTGATCACAAGCTAACTTCAATGAATACGGTTGTCTTGTGAAGAAGCAGCTTGCAGAACAACAGCAGTTGAATACACATTCTGCGTTTTCTTTTGTGTCTGTTTCGAAAAATATCTTTAGATCGTATTGAAAAAAGATATACGTTCTCAAAATCTCAAGTAATCGCAAAACAAACTCTGACGTGTATATATGAAGTAAGATGTTCTTCAATTATGAAAATCTGCTTTGGGATAAAGATGTTTCTGAATCTCTAAAAGAAAGTTAAACCCCTCCCCGCATTAGAAGACCCCTGGTCTTCTATTATGTCTCGTCGTAGAAATTTCTCAGAGGGGTCTTCTATTATGTCCTAGGTTTTTTACCAATTATTAACTGAAAGTAGTTTTCCAGAAATCCGAGGCGATTTTCAGGATTCTTATAGGGATTTTCACGGTTTT